TTTCTGATTGGCTTATTTCACTTCCCATAATGTCCATCTGTGTTGCATGTGGCAAGATTTCCTGCCGTCTTAGGGTTGAATAATATTCCTAAATATCTAAATACTACATTTGTTTATCCATTCATCTGTTTTTTTTTTTTTAATCCATTCATCTGTTAATGGGCATTGGGTTGTTCCCACCTCTTAGAAGTTGTGAGTAATGCTGTTACATGAACACAGTGTGCTAATAGATCTTCTCCATTCTACTTTCAGTTATTTTGGGTATATAGCCTAAAGCGGGATTGATGGATCACATGGTAGTCCTGTGTTTAATTTTTTGAGGACCACCATACTATTTTTTAGAGCAGTTGCATTGGGATCCCTGGGTGGCGCGGCGGTTTGGCGCCTGCCTTTGGCCCAGGGCGTGATCCTGGAGACCCGGGATCGAATCCCACGTCAGGCTCCCAGTGCATGGAGCCTGCTTCTCCCTCTGCCTATGTCTCTGCCTCTCTCTCTCTCTCTCTCTCTGTATGACTATCATAAATAAATAATAATAAAAAAAATAGAGCAGTTGCATTATTTTATGATTCTATCAGTAGTGCCCAAAGGGTGAGTTCTTTTCACTGTCAATTTTGGAGTAAGGAGTTAATATATTCCACTGAATGGTGACGAATACATTTTTTCTTCTCTTTTTTTTTTCAAATACTATGCGTGAATAATTTTGTTTTGCATGAATAATTTTTTATTTATTCGATAATGTACAATGGTGATGTGATATAATAAGAGATCTATATTGGGTCATTGTCCACGGTTCCTGGAGCAGCTCTGGAGCGATAAAGGTGAAAGGAGTGTCTTTTGTTACTCATAACAGGCCCCTTTCGGATCACCACAGAGTTTATGCTAATGAGGTGACTTTTGGAAAGCCATGAAGGATGGGGGGCTGGTTGTCAGGGGAACCAACCACGTGATTAGAGTTGCCACTTTCAGCCTCAAACGTCCCCCAACCCCTACCTCTGCCCCCACCGACCTTTGGGGAGGAGGGATGGGCTGGTGATTGCGTTCCATCACCAGTGGTAAATGATTTAATCCATTACGCCTAGTAATGAAGCCGCCATAAAAACCCTAACCAAAGGGGGTTCAGAGAGTTTCCATGTTGTTGAACACCTGGCCCACTGGGAGGGTGGTGTGCCCAGAGAAGGCATGGAAGCTCCAAGCCACTTACTCCATAGTGAGCCCCTATGCATCTATTTGGCTCTTACTTAGTCGTATTCTTTTATAAACCAGTGATTCAATAAATAAACTGTTATCCTGAACTCTGTGAGCCACTCTAGCAAATTATTGAATTTGAGGAAGGGGTCATGGGAACCCCCAATTTATAGCCAGTTGGGCCACAGTAGCAGCCTTAATAATTAGCATTTGAGTGGGAGGCAGCAGTCTTGGGTTAAGCTCTCACAAACTACAGGCAGTTGGTGTCAGAATTACATGATGTGGAAAACCCACACATTTGGTTTCAGAAGTGTTTTGTGGGTGTTAGGAGTAGTAGTGTACAGGGAATAAGGGTTTTTTTCCTTTTTGGACAATAATTTCATTCTTTCTGAATGTTCAAATTTAATCACATTTGGCCAGTGGGAGATCTCTTCAAACCAGTTCAACTGACCTTTGAAACACTCCAGTTAGTCTTCCTTGCTTTCTGTAACAAACTGTCCCAATCCCACTTAGATTTCAGGATCTAAGATTCTTTCTCTAAGGAGCCCTGGTCCTTTTAGTGGGAAATCACATTAGAGGTGAAGATCCCAGTGCTTCATGTATGTACTCACTGCCACTGGGGGCCATTGCTTGTGGGCCCTTTCTTTTTTTTAGATTTTTTTTTTATTTGTTTATGATAGTTACAGAGAGAGAGAGAGAGAGCGCGGCAGAGACACAGGCAGAGGGAGAAGCAGGCTCCATGCACTGGGAGCCCGACGTGGGATTCGATCCCAGGTCTCCAGGATCGCGCCCTGGGCCAAAGGCAGGCGCCAAACCGCTGCGCCACCCAGGGATCCCGCTTGTGGGCCCTTTCAATGGACATGGCCGGGAAATTTTTTTGGGGGGTCATGAGTTCCTATTGATGTTTCCAGTTCAAATTTTTTTTTTCCAGTTCAAATTTAACAAGTGAGAATTTTCTTAATTTCTTGGATGTTATTCTTTTATCTCTTTCTTACTTTTGTTTTGTAAAAAGTAAGACAGCATTTCTTTTCTTCACAAAGACAGCATATTCCATACTGTGTTCAGCACGTTGCCCTTTTCATTTTATCTCTCCTTAAGATCACTCCAAATCTGTCCATGGAGATCTTCCTCATTCTTTTTTCTGGCTCCACAGACCTTTTTTTCTTAATTAAAAAACAATAAAAAAAAAAAAAAGGAGGCTCCATACCCAACGTGGGGTTTGAACTCATGACCCTGAGATTAAGAGTCTCATGCTCTACTGACTGAGCGCCCCCGGCACCCTTTATTCATTTATTTTAAAGAGTGAACTCGAGAGGTGGGGGAGAAGCAGAGGGAGAGGGAGAATCGGAATCTGTGCTGATGGGGAGCCTGATTCAGGGTTTGATCTCATGACCCTGAGATCATGATAAGCTGAAACCAGGAGTCAGATGTTCAACCTACTGAGCCACCCAGATGTCCTTATTATTATTATTATTTTACTTTATTTGAGAGTGAAAGAGAGAGAGTGAGGGACACCTGGTTGGTTCAGTAGTTAAGCATCTGCCTTCAGCCCAGGGTATGATCCTGGAGTCCCAGATTGAGTCCCACATCAGGCTCCCTGCATGGAGCCTACTTCTCTCTCTGCCTATGTCCTTGGCTCTCTGTGTCTCTCGTGAATAAATAAAAAATATAGTTTTAAGATTTTATTTACTCATGAGAGACACAGAAAGAGGCAGAGACACAGGCAGAAGGAGAAGCAGGCTCCATGCAGGGAGCCCAACCTGGGACTCGATACCGGGTCTCCAGGATCAGGCCCTGGGCTGAAGGCGGTGCTAAACCGCTGAGCCACCCGGGCTGCCCAATAAATAAAATCTTAAAAAAAAAGAGAGAGAGAGAGCAAGCAGGGGAGGAGCAGAGGGAGAGGGAGAAGCAGACTCCCCACTAAGCAGGGAGCCTGATGCAGGACTCAGTCCAAGGACCCTGAGATCATGATCTGAGCTGAAGAAAGAGGTGTAACTGAGCCACCCAGGCTCCCTCTGATTTTTTAAAAGAGATTTTATTATTTATTTAGTTTTAATTTTTTTAAATTTTTATTTATTTATGATAGTCACACACACACACACACACACAGAGGCAGAGACATAGGCAGAGGGAGAAGCAGGCTCCATGCACCGGGAGCCCGACGTGGGATTCAATCCTGGGTCCCCAGGATCGTGCCCTGGGCCAAAGGCAGGCGCCAAACTGCTGCGACACCCAGGGATCCCTATTTATTTATTTTTAAAGATTTTATTTATTTATTCATGAGAGACACACACACAGAAGGCAGAGACACAGGCAGAGGGAGAAGCAGGCTCCATGCAGGGAGCCCGACGTGTTACTCGATCCTGGCTCTCCAGGATCAGGCCCTGAGCCACCCAGCTTCCCAAGAGATTTTATTTTGAGATTTTAAACATATACAAAATTAGAGGGGATAATAAACGTCTCTGTGCCCATCACTGAACATCAATAATTGCCAACATGCAGACAACCTACAACAGGAGGCTGTGAGGGCAGGTCACTGGAAGTCCAATCACCTGGGCACTTGGGGCACAGCATGGTTGACTGCTTTGCCTCCACTCACAAAAGGAACCAGTAGACATGCGTGGTCTCAGCCTGGCAACCCGTGTGCAGAGGTTACAAGGCCCGGAGAAGGGGGCAGTTAACACCCAGGGGAGTCTGGGAGGAAAGTCTGAGCTGCATCTGGAAGAACCACATGTACATGGGTGGGGATGGGGACAGGGACAGTGAAGAAAAGGAGCTGGAGGCGGAGGCTGAGAGTGGCAAGACCATTTGTGGCCTTGCATTGCCACATTGAAGGGGACCATGTGAGCTGGTGAAGGGTTGTAGAGTGAGGCTGGATGGAGCTTGGATGGGAGTGGGGAGGCTGAGATGACGTAGAAGAGGTGGGAGCAGCCTGCCACATGGGGGATGAGGGCCAGAGCTAAGCAGGAATGATGGTGACAGGGAAGGGGTTTCCCAAGGGGCCCATCTGACGTGGGGACAGCACAGGATCCCAGGTAAGGAGCCATTGGCCTGGGATGGATCCTGAGGTCATTACCCACGGTTAGAACTATAGGAAGAGAGTAGGGATGCCTGGGTGGGTGGGAAAGAGTTCATTTTGTCTAGATGGGAGTTGAGGAGTTGAAAGCAGGGGCCAACCAGGCAGAAATCACTTGGGTCCCTAGTACCTGCAACATCCAGTGTCCACAGAGACTCCATGCCAGCCTTAGTGGGACTAAGGTGTGGGCAGGCACTAAACTAATTTTGCAGGAGAATGAAGTCAAATTCAGAGGCATTAGAGGCCTTGACCCAACTCACAAGGCTTCTTAGGGGCACAGCACGGCCCCCTTGGAGCTGCCCAATTCACTGGTTGAGTGGTTATGACTGCCCAGGCGCAGGGCAGGGGCTGCCCAGAGGACAGCAAAGGGCCATGACCCTGGCCAGTCTTAGTGGCTGTGCAGTCTGCTTCCCTCCTTGGTCTAAATCAAGAAGGAACTGGATGGGTCAAACATTTGTACTTATTTTTTAAAAAAGACTTTATTTCTTCATGAGAGAGAGAACGAGAGAGCGAGCACACAAGCACAGGTCAGCAGGGGGAGGAGGCAGAGGGAGAAGCAGACGCCTCGCTGAGCAGGGAGCCTGATGCAGGACTCAATCCCAGGACCCTGGGGGTTGTGACCTGAGCCAAAGGCAGATGCTTCCCCGAGTGAACCCCCCAGGGGCCCCAACCACTTGAACTTTACAGTTTATACAGCTCTTGCACAAATCATCTCACGGACTTCTCACAATTGCCCTAATTATAATTAGAAAGCTTTATTACAGGAATTGACAGAGAAGACTCACAGAGATAAGGGGCCAAGACACACAACTTGAAAACACAACTTGTCTGAACCAGGATCCAGAGCAGAGGGGCAGAGTCCACGTCTCCTGCCATGCCCACTGTGCCGCACCGCCTCCCACACAACCCCGGTGCCCCTGCACCACGGAGGGGCCTCCGCTGGAGGCTGCAGGGTAGGAAGCCTTCAGAGACCCTCTTGGGACTGAAGGGGCAGCAGCTCCTCTCCGGGGTTGCAAAGTCCCATCAAAGGAGGGGAGGATGACACTGACCTCTCTTAGCGCCCAAGTGTGTGGAGGGGGGCAAGGGCAGGGACAAATGTGAGTCAATTTTTATTTTGGGGATGGTGGGGTAGGATCATCGTACTCCTCTGGTTATGCGACAGTTACCAGGTGCAATTTTAGGAGCACTTTTCTAACCCTCTGCCCATGCCACAGAAGCAACACAGCTCTTCACAGCCCGGCTTCCCTCTCCGACACATAGCCCTTCCGCTGGGCTGGACAGCTGCCAAGGGCCAAGAAAGGCAAGAGAATTCCCTCCAGACTTCTGGGCTGACAGCGGCTGGGAAATCTGTTTTGGCCTCAAGAGGAGCCCGGCGGCCGCTGGCGCTGCCCAGGCGCTGCTGTGGGGTAGAGATAACAGGCACAGGAAAGGTGGGGTGGCAGGATCCTCCCAAGAGCCTGGCTTTCACGTAAACAATGAGCTGCCGCCGCCAGGGCAGGAGGTGATTCATGTCCCACACGGCGTGGAGCCCGCTGGCAGTGCTCGGCGGGCACTGAGGGACCGGGGCAGCCTTGGCCAAGCGCGGATGCCTCTCGGGCTCCCTGTGAAGCCTGGGGATCAAATCCAGGCCTTCTGGTAACAGGCCGGACTTCAAAAGCCTGGGTGTGTCTGAAGAGTCTGGGAGGGCTCAATCTCCCCCAAGGGAGCAGAGACCTCGGCTCTTGTCTGAGAACTGGCTGGCTTTCAGGATCAGGGCAGCGGCCAGCGGGACCATGGGGCCTCCCCCACTCTCTGGACGCCCACCTGCCCGTGCCAAGAGGCAAATGCCGGGAATGACCACAGCCACTTCCTGGGCTGCCCCCACTGACTAGTGCCACAGGCTTCGGCCACTCTACTACCAACCCTGAGGTAGTAAACCCGACAAGAGGAGATGGAGAGGGCACTTGGAACTTCCGCATCTGCCTGAAAACAGACCACAGAAGAGGCCAGTGCAGCCAAGATGCCGACAGAAGAATACGGCACTTTTAATAGGGCACCGGACCTCAAGTGGTGTGTGGACACCATCCACAGCACCCGACTCCTCTGTAGCTATGTCCTTTTCCTGGCTGGAACGCCACAAAGAGGCTCCTCTTGGGGTGGCATCTGGGGAGCAGATCCTAGTCCTGAAATAAACAGAGGCGGCACCTCTGTGCCAATGTTGGTCTCCGGGCTGCACAGTCTCCCCACGTCCTGAAGTGGCTCCTCCCCTTGATGGAAAGAAATGTCCGAGCCACCCCAAGCTGGTCCCTCAGGTCACTGCTTGGCCTTTTTCACGATGGTGCCCACGGCAGAGATCACAGTGGTCTTGGAGCCACTGGCACTGGTGGTCACCGTGACGACAGCTGGCAGGGTGGCTGTGGTGGTGAGGATGGTTGGCTGCGCTATCGTCGTCACCGGAATGGCAGAGTCCCACTTGCTCTTTCTCTTCTGGGCATCTGGAGTGAGGCAAGGGATGAGTGTCAGGACAATAAACTGAAAAGCAACATTCTCTTTTCTAGGTCAGGGTTTAGGGGCTCCTACGGAAGGGGTAGCCAGTGAAGTGGGGACCCCACCCCAAGTTCCCATGATGCCTTGCAAACTCTGGGGTCAGAAAAGAACATAGCAAGGTGGAGCCTACGCCCAGATCTCCATGGGCTCTGCTCCCCCAAACAAGGCAGGGAAACCCCGGCTTCATCTGTGGTGTGGCTAGAAGCAGACCAGCCTCCCTCTACCTGCAACTGCTGTGCTGGCTGTGGTGGTGGTGGTGGCTGTGGCGTTGGTTGTGGTACCTTTCTTGGTGCCTGTCACAAACTCGATCTGGAGAGAAAGGGAAGAGAAGAGGGCTGTGCCAAGCAGTTTATCCACATCCTCGGCCAGCGGGGCTGAGTTTGTGCTGTACAGAGGAGGCAGTGAGAAGCAGCCCTGCTGTGCTAAGAGAGGGAGAGGAGTCCAAGAGGTGCTTGGAGGAGACTTTTATTACATTTTTTTTGTGTTCCGAGAGGGGGGCAGAGGGAGAGAGAACTCAAGCAGGCTCCACACCCAGTGCAGAGCCCAAGGTGGGGCTCAGTCTCATGACCCTGAAATCAGAACCTGAGCCAAAATCAAGAGTTGGATGCTTAACCCATGGGACCACCCAGGGGCCCCTTTGATTTTTTTATTATTTTTTTGGGGGGAGAGGCAGAGGAAGAGGGAGAGAGAATTGAATTTTACTACTTTGAGGACAGCCTTCTAGACATTGGACTGCTCCCAGCATCACCACATTTCTGCATGTGCAGGGCAAACCAGCTTGCTGCCCTGCCTCACATTTTGGGTGGAGGTGTATCCACCCGTATGGGAGAAGCACAGCTCTGGTTCCCAGGTGCTGCAGACATGTCCCACACTAAGCCTGGGGTTTGGAATGGGGAAGGAAAGAGACAGAAGGGACACTCCATCAAGCACTAAGAACGAGAAAACCTGACCACCCCAGCACCAGCTCCTGGTGGGTGGCTGCCCCTCTGCTGGGGGTTGGAGGCATCCTGAAGGCTAAGCTGCTGCAGGAGGGTCAGAGCAAAGCCAAGGTGGGCAGAGCTGGTGCCAAGGCCCCTTTCTCTCAGAGACTGGTCGTAAAGGGCATAGCACCCTGAGGATGTTTAGTCTCATCGTCAAATTTCTGTTCTCCAAAGATCTAAACCACGCTGCTGGGTAGCCCAAGTGCCTCAGCGGTTTAGTGCCGCCTTCAGCCCAGGGCATGATCCTGGAGACCCAGGACTGAGTCCTACATCAGGCTCCCTGCATGGAGCCTGCTTCTCCCTCTCCCTGTGCCCCCACCCCCTCTCTGTGTCTCTCATGATTAAATAAAATCTTTAAAAAAATAAAATGCAGAGCTTTTTTAAAAAAAGTAAATCACGCTGCTTGAGAAGAAGTGATATTCAGAGCCCTAAAATAAGGGGTCAGCTGGCCACCAGACATGGGACCTACAAGGAAGCATGGAGGCAGACTGTGCAGATCAGATCTCAGGGAGACCCGCTACTCTATCAGGCCAGGGAGGACACTGATGACCATGCCCAGAGCCAGCAGGGCTCCGCAGCTGTAGCAGGCAGCAGAGGGAGGGGGTAGTGCAGCAAACCACAAGACCCCAGGAAACCAAATGGAAGCAACTGAGAGGCACCTTCAAGCTGAAAGTGGGGGGCCGAGGAATGACACTCCACATACCTGCCTAGGACATCAGTCCATCACTTACTTTGGTTCGTTCCTTTTTGGCCTTTTCCAATTTGTCCATTTCAATCTTCTGGGCTTTAGCTAACAAAGACAGGAGATGTTAAAAGCAGTCCCGGAACAGCTCCCACGTGAAAGGCCACCTGAGGCCGAGGGACGAGGGACCCCACACCAGCACTTGCTGCCTCCCCTGGGCTTTTGCTCAGTGTGTGCGCTAGCCTCTGGGCCACTGGGCTCACTGTCCTTTTGTGATGGACAAACGGAAGTGCCCGCCCCTGGCCAACAGAGAGCAGAGGCCTCACACAGAAAGGCCCAGGCGCTGGGGCCTTGTCTGGAGGGGCCAGTTGCTCCCGAGCACTGGCTGACTGTCACCATGTGGGGATGCAGGCCCTGTGTGGATGACCTGCCCAGTGACCAAGAGAAGCCGAGATTACAGATTTGGGGTAAAATGTTGGCGACTGATTCAAGTTAGAGCAAGATAAAATGTGTGTGGGCCAAACAAAACATACCCGCAGACCAGATCTGGTCTGTGGGCTGCTGGGTTAAGGTCTGCCATCGGAGAGCTTGGACTCTTGAAATTCCTCCCAGTTCTCCCTACGGGGATCCCTGAGAAAATGCTTTCTCGCTGGCTTCAGAATACACAGTCCCCTTGCCTGGGACACTCTTTGCATTTGCCTGGCTGGCCTCTGGGCGCCTTCAAACCTCAGCTCAAACGTGACTTCCTCAGCAAGACTGTCCCCCTCCTTCCACAGGTTAGCTGGCCCAGCCTGCACCCCCCACCGCAACATTCCTCACTACTAGGACTATTCCTTCTCTGCCTTCTGTGCCAGGTCATAAGCCTCCTAAGTCGCAGTGGGTCTATCTCATTCAAGACCGTATACCCACTCCCTTGGAAATGCCCTGACACAGAGGAGACCCTGATATACCTGTTGGCTGACAGCAGACAGGAGGAGAGACAGATAAGGGCCACCTACCTAAGGCCTCATAGTAGGAGTCCTCAGACCAACCGTGGGGGTCAAACATATCCTGGAAAAGTAAGTTAATGTTGTAGTCAGCCAGGGTCGTTGAATGACAAACAGCTTAGAAACCCACATCCCTTCTCCCCAAGTCTTCCCATGGATTTTCCTGGCTTAGAGGCTCTTGCCTTAAGGGCATGAGGGCTCAGCTATTATCCCTGGTCTCCAGCGAAGGGGGTGGCTGATTTGCTCTTGGGAGTCACAGAGGAAGTGATACCTCTCTGTGGGCTGTGCTTTAGGAGCACAGTGAGTGCACACTCATGTCCTAACCAATCAGGGGCCTGGGGCCAGGTCTGTCGCTGCGATCTCTCTCCTGGACTATTTCAGAGCATTAAGGACTCAAATGAGAGAGCTGGGGGCTGTGCTCTTCAGCCAGTGCTACTGTTACATGGGCCTTTCAGTGGCTCCAGGCTGAATCCAGCAGAATGAACACAGGGCCCTGGGCATCCTCCCTCAGCCCTCAGCCTCTGCATGCAGGACATACCTTTGGGTAGTTGGTGCCCAGCTCATCAATTGCACAGAACTGGATCAGCTTCTCGTAGATGCTGAAAGAACAATACCAGAAGGCACTGTGCAGGCTCTAGTCCCATGCCTTGTGTGGCAGCAGACTGAGAGAGATCAGAACCGTCTAGTTCCTAGACTCAGAAAAACCATTTAAACCCAGCTAAACTGTTGCAAGTAAGCTTCCTAATAAAAGGAGAAATGTCCACTGGCATTAAGTCATTCCAGGTCCTTGCCACTTCCAGCAAGAGGGATCGTTAGCCAGGAGCCAGGACTGGAATGGTGTTTTTTGGTCTTATCCAGACATCTGACATATGACCCACATTTGGCTGCGTGGCTGGGTCGAGGCCCTGATGCCACCAGACCAAACTGTTTACAGGTGTGGCACTTGCTCAGACCCTGGAGGAAGACCCAGACACAGCACTGTTCCTAAAACTTGTCACCTGCACGCAGAATCAGTGACAGTTTGGAGGGGAAAGAGGAACCCTCAGGGACTGCCTAGTCCAATTCCCTCACTTTAGAGATGAGATGGAGGCCTTGGGAGGGGCAGAGTGAGGAGGAGACCCCAGCCAGGCCTCTTCCATCCTAGCTCTGGCCTCACGGCCTCCACTCTTCATCCTGGTTTCTGTGTCACTGTAGTTGGGGTGATGGCCCCTTTGGGCACAGGTTACATTGTAGCTGGGCCTCTCCCTGCCACCTCCATGGGGGGTATTCTAGTCCCTAGTCCAATACTGATGACTCAACGGACCCTGCAGACTCATGGGAAACTCACCTGGGGTTCCGAAATTCTTTCTTTCTTTGAATAATATAGTTCATATCCATTCCTTCCTTTATCTTCCGTTCATAAAGCTTCTGGATCTTGTCCTGCAGAAGAGAAACGGAAGGGCACCTATGACACCACCCTACCCACTGGCAATCCCAGACTGTGGGCACATATGCTGGGTGGATGCCTGGGCACAGGAGACCCACAGAGCCATGTGAAGCCCTACTCCAGCCATGCTGTCTTTCTCCACCCAGCCTCTGACCAGCGCCAAGCAGAAATAAGATAAATGGAGACCAATCTGTTTTTCATTTTGCTTTCTCCTGACTCCCTCTGGATGGCTGGCAGCGGGGGCAGTAAAATGTCAAGGCAGAGAAACCATGGGGAAGACCATGGATGAAACTCCCCCTCAATTGGCTCCTGAATCATCCAAAGAGGATTTAGGCAAAGCTTTGAGGGGGAATGGAGGGGCTCAATACTGGTTTAAGTTTAACATGGGGTTAGGTCCTCAGTGGGAGACCTGGGAAGGGTAGGTCTTTTCAGAGAAAGGAAGTAGAATTTTTTGGATTTGGCCTCACAAACTTCCTACAGGGTCCTTTGTAGGGAGGCTCATAGATGGCCAATCCCCATGACTTTATTAAGAGGCACTGTGGGGGGTCAAGAGCCCATCTTATTAAACCTCCCCCCACCCCAACCCCAGATCCCTGCTCTGGTTTTTTTTTCTTTTAAAGACTTCAGGCTCCATGCCAGGAGCCAGACGCACGACTTGATACTGGGACCCCAGGATTGCGCCCTGGGTCAAAGGCAGGCGCCAAACCGCTGAGCCACCCAGGGATCCCCTGGTCTGGCTTTTGATGGGCAAGAGGAGAATCACCTGGCAGGAGCCCGGCCAGTCCCACAGAGATGAAACTGGCAGAAGATGGCATCCATACCACCCAGCACAGAAAGAGGCTGCAGAAACCTGAGTCTCGGGGCAGAGCCGCTTCTGAGGAGGAGCAGTCTTACCCAGCAAGGCTGGGGCTGGCCCAGAGCAAGGTTCTCTCTGCAGCCTCCCCCACTAGTGGCGGCTAAATGCACAAACTCTCCAGAAGGAAAACACTTGGGTCACTCTTCACCTGCAAGAGGAGGTAGGCAGGGCTGGAAATCCTGTGTAACGCCCTTTGAGGAACATCAGGAGAGGTGATCCACTCCCTTTGTCAGAAGGCCGAATCTTTCTGCAGAGACTGACCAGAGGAAGCACTGAAGTGCAGAGAGAGGTCTATAATACATTTACCAGGGGAGAGGCGACCAAGAGTGACAACCTTCAACGTTCTCTCTTCAAGGGCAAAGCAAGGAAGCCTCACACAGAAGGCTTGGTGAAACGAGGCCGACCTGTATCTTACGGATTACTTTGCTGGGTTCCCTGGGCCATCAGATGGGCTTTCCCATTTCAGGTCAACTAAAGTGTTCACTTAATGTCATGGTTTCTACCATTAGGAGGATCTAAAAATGAGAAAGACACTGAACTGAAAGGCTGAGCAAGCTGGGTATCTCTGGCAGATTGCTGGACTCCTTACAGGCTGTGGCTTGTTGCCTGGCAGGGAAGTGAGGTGCTACGCTGCCGGGTGGACAGCTCTGCCAAGGGAGGAGACTTTTGGGAAAGGAAGAGGACCTGCACTGTGCCCCAGTTCTGCCCAGCCAGATGCATTCCGCTGCCTCAGGTTCCCTTAGTCATCCATCCGTTAGGATGATTCCCTGGGGCTGTGGTGTGGCCAGAGGTGCCAGCAGAACCTATGGGATCAAAGGCAGAGTTGGTGGACCGGGTAGTGGGCAACCTTGGGTGTCAGCCCCAGTGTCTGTCACAAGGTTCTACCCATAGGGGAACCTGCAGAAGGCTAAGGAGAAACAATCAGAGCTGCTGAAGAGGAGCCAGGACGCCTGGATGGCTCAGTGGTTGAGCATCTGCCTCTGGTTCACGTCATGATCCAGGGGTCCTGGGATGGAGCTCTGTATTGGGCTCCCCAGAGGGAGCCTGCTTCTCCCTCTGCCTATGTCTCTGCCTCTCTCTCTGTCTCTCATGAATGAATAAACAAATAAATAAATCTAAAAAAAAAAAAGAGGAGTTGCAAGCCCCAGCTGCCCCCTGAGGCCCTGTTCCCAAGGGAGTAACTGCATTAAATGCTCCAAATCCTTGGGATTTCAAAACCTCAGGCTAAGTCTATGCAGTTTTGTCAGGAGAGGAGGACAAGAATCTCAGGTACATTAACACTTGTGTATTTACATTTCTATAATCTCTTTTCCATTCTAATGGTCCCTCTTTCTTAGAGGAGTTCCCCACTGGCTCACTGCAGAAAATCATGGTATTTTCTCTGCCTAGGCTCAGGACCCCACTGAGGATGAGCTAGGGGTCCTGTTAGAACAGCACACCAGGTAATGTGGCAGAGGCTGGCAGTGGCTCAGAGCAACCTCCTGACAGGTAAGCCGGACATGTGAGCTCCTGCCCACCGGCCTGTTTCTTTGACAGAAGGCTTAAAGTCACACTAAATCGGACACCTGACCAGGCCTTCTCCCCCACACAGGATGGGCTGTGGTGGCCAAGCTCTACACTTACTTGTAAGTGGTTCGAACACCTGCCAGGGGGTTCGGGTGGGATCTTGATTTCATCAGGTGACATGTTCCGGACTCTTTCAGAAAAGGAGGCTGTGAGAGAACAGAAGAACTCTGTTGATGTATGTTGGGTGGCAGGGGCTAAACATGGATAGTTTAAAAAAGGCACATCAGATCTTTTCAGGGAGAGGGAAAGGCTATGAAACAGTAAAACGATGCTCAGAGTGGCTTCTCTGTCATCGGAGTTGAGGTCAAATGACCAGAAGGAGCCAGCGTGTGCCAAGTAGGTGGAAGAGTTGTTCAGGCAGAGGGGACAAGTGTCAAGAATGTGGTTTCCTGCATCCCAGCAGCAAACTTTTCAGGAAAGGGTCTGTTCGAGGTATGCTGGTAAATGTTTAACAACCTGTTGGAGGGGGGGTGGTGGCAGGGAAAGAGCTATGATCTGCAGCATGTGTCAGTTTCTAGGGTACCAATGCTCTTGTTGCTGGACCCAGGCCCAGGAAAAGAAGAGCACCACCAGCTCACAATGTGAACCAGCTCTAGCCCTCTAGCCCACCCCTCAACCCTCCCCGCCTCCCCGCCGGCTACATTCCTATGACACCCTCCCAGGACTCTGCTGTCATCCTTCTCATCCTACCCAAGATAAGAGGAGACAGAGTTCAGGGTTCCCCCTAGGCTCTGGGATTCAAAACATTAAAAACTGCTTTGTGCATAAATGGTATTTAAAAAAATTACCTGTGTTATTAGCTATTGTCTTTCAAAAATAAACCAATCAACCGTCCTTTTGGTCCACCTCATTCTTGGAAACAAAAGGTCTGATTCTGGAGTGAAGAATCACAACTCCCAAGGGGTAATCCCCTCGGAGATCTGCCACTGCCCACCCAAGATGTTGCATTCTCTGTTCTTTTTGCTGTAGCCTCTGGCCACCCTGGGCCTGTAGAGTATGCTCTGGATCACTCAGACAATGCATCGTTTGTTAAAAGGTTCTGTCCGTGCTCTTTAAAACATTCTCTCATGAAAAGGACCATACAGTGAGCAAACAGCAGGCGGAGAGGGGTGGGGCAGGATGAAGAGAAAGAATGAACAAAACAGCACCAGTAACACCCAGCAAGTACTTACTGGGTAGCCACTGTGTGCCAGGCTCTAGGCCACTATTTCTTAGCCCTGAGAGGCTACCTGGACTGTCTGGTGAGAACCTAGCACAGCCTTGCCTTCTTCTCTCCTTGTGCTGGGTTAATATTTTCTTAGCAGATAAGGTACTTTGATCTCTACTCGGAGTCTCACTACGATGATAAAGAACTCAGGGCTGAGGATATGGCTCCAGGGGCTTTGCCAATCTCTGTTGCTGCAAAACACACCTGCGTACACTACAAAGCCCAAGGTGGGGGCAGAGTCTCCACACGCTGCCTGTGCCAACTCCCACGGTTGGCAGTGGGTTCTCACTGGCTATGCCACAACTGCAGAGCACTAGACCTGCCACTTTTGGTGGAGGTGAGGATCCTGTCCTGGACCAGTGCAGCTCAGAAGCAGTTTCCCCCAGGGGACCCCATGCTCCTCTTTGCCTGGTCCCTTCCATCTCCTGACTCCTGAAGCAATGATGGCACCCACATCTGGCTGGAGTTCAAGTCTCATCTTGACTTCTCCAGTCTTCTCAGCCCTGGGAGAGACTGGGGTTCTCAGCCTGAGGTCCAAGCAGGCTGCAGAGGCCAGCTGAGAGTGGAACTGGCCAGGGCGAGCTGGTCCTTGTTATTTCTGGAGGGCAAAAGCAAGGAGAGCCTGGGTAGGTTCTGGGCACATGGAGGGTGAAGCTCTCCCTTGGGGTGGAGAGTAGATGTGTACATGACAGAGAGACAAAGAATGCCCTTTGGCATTTGCCAGGAAAGCCTTTTAGAAAAACAGGGTGTGATGCCGTTGCTCAGCAACCCAACCACACTAAAGCTCCAGTGGTATACAGCATGACAGCAAGGGAGAGCCCCTTTAGAGCTCCCGGGTTAGGAACAAAAGAATTCCTACAAAGTAACTGGCAAGTGAAGGGCCAGTCAGAAAATTAGGTAAAAATTTTCCCATAGCTTCCTGGAGCAATATTTCAGTGATTCTCTTTCCTAAGTCCCAGCATGATTTGAAGCAGAAGACACTAAACCCACATAAATGGTTATTTGAGCAGCCACAAAGCCTCAAACTGTTTTCCTAGGAAATTCGTGGAGAAATGTGTCCAGGTACTTGGCGCAGCTCCAGTTACTGTAACTGCTCTTGGGTGTGCTGGGGGCATTCTAGAAGGGCAGCTGTACTCAGGATCTGAGAAGTCTATCTTGGTGATTCATCCTCTGTGCACACCCAAGCCAGGAAACAGTCATGGTATCCATAGCTGCCAGGTATGAATCTGAGCCGAGCAGCTAGTCAGCTGGGGTTACGTAATGGTGGGGAGTAAGGAGTGCCCGGGGCGGGGGGGATCGCGCAGTGGGTACTGTGGGGCTGGGAGCAGGAGGCAGTGGCGTGCTTTCTGGTTCACGAGACCCACGGAGAATCCAACTGGCTTGCCACCCAGGCCACTGTTCCAGGCATGACCACGGGGCATCAGTGGGGCATCTGCAGGGCATGTGCATTCAGCTCTGTCAAGTGGCCACAGTGCTGGAGAGACCCATGAGTCGGTTTCTCTGCTTTCATCTGCTCCATTAAACCTGCGGCTGTCTACACATATGAAAATCCTGCCCATATCTGGGGAGCAATCCAAGAGTCCTATCTCCAGAGTGATTAACAAAAGGAGCTGAGTTCAGACAGAGCTCAATCAATTATTACCTCATCAGTGAGAAATACGTAGGAGGATACAAGAGTATGAGGCTTTAAGACCTACTGTGGTGAATGGAGACAGAAATTATGGATGGGGGTAATCCTAGTGAAAGAATATACTGAGCAATAAAATGAAACTATGGATATGCCCAATAACATGGAAGGATCTCAAAAATATATGGTATGTGAAAGAAGCCAGACAAAAAAATAAGGTGATAATTTCAATTCTATCCACGGTTCTCAACGGGAAGGGGGGGGGCAATTATGCTCCCTGGGGCCCCGAGGGGACGTTTGGCAATGTCTAGAAACATTTTTCCCCTGTTACATCTGGTAGAGGGAGGGGAGAGCTAGAAGCATCCTGAGACAGAGGATGCTAAAATTTCGTGTCAAACACAGGCCAGGCCTGCTACAAGGAATTATCCAGCTAAAAATGTCAAGGGTGCCATGGCTGAGAAATCCTGATTTTTATGAAATTCTAAAAAAGGCAAAACTATAGTGAAGTAAGTCAAATGCTGCTTGCCTGAGGCCAAGGGAGGAATCAGTCTGTCCTGCTTGCAGGAGGCTTTGCTCTGCTTCCTCTGCAAAGCAGACCAGTGCATCCTCTGAGTGCCATTTTTCTAAGGAGTGAATGCTAAGGTCTAGGAAAATTCTGATTTTTATAGGATTTGAAAAATTCACACTTGGGGATAAAGGCAGAATCCTGCTGAGGGTCTGGGCTATTCATTGTGGTTTGTTCCTACCCAAGCCTTCCTCGGAAAACAAATGTAATGGAACAATTTTCTATTCTTTTAGTTAGGGAAACCAGAATGGTTCCCCACCTCCCACATCCCATGAAAGGATCCTGTCTGAAAACAGGACAGGTCCAAGGGGCTGCAAGCCACAAAGCCTCCATCTGGAAGCACAGGTGTAGGTTTTGTCGTCTACCTTTGAAGCAAAGCCCAGATAAGCAGGACCCCTGCTCAGTCACTGCAGGGAGGGAGGGTCATCCTCTCCGTGAGGTTGGGACAGGTGTTGGCAGAGCTGTTACAAAGTCCATGACCAAACCAAGAGTTGAGGGACTTTCTAAAAAGGATGAGGAGGCTGGGGTTAGCACAGGACTGGTATGACATGTGTGCCATTTTTTCAAACATAACTGTCCTGCCCTCCCAAGTCACAAAAGGCCCTAGACTCTGGGGCTATGTACGAGGCATGTTCCCTCTTGGCGACAAAGTGAAGTGCCAGCAGAGGCCACATGTTTGCTCCTTGAGCATAGGAATATGCCAGCAAAACAGGGCAGGGGCGTACAAGGACAGAGGACAGGCCTAGGGCACAAGGGGAACGAGCTCCCAGCTGGAGGGGGCCCTCAATCCATCTTGACAACATTGGCAACTGACCAGAGCCCAATGAAATGCACCATGAATCTGATTTTCAAAGAAGAATTGTTCCCTGGGTGTCTTACTCAGACATCTTAGGAAATGCCAAAGGCCCTGAGAGAGCACATGAAGAGAAGGCTCTCAGCAGAACAGTGGCCTTGGCTGAAGCAGAGAGAAGCCCCAGGCAGTGGCAGGCCTGGGCATGGCTGGAAGCCAGTTCGCTCTGGGCAAGGCTCAGAGATCTGCCCCTGAGGCTCCCCCTGGGGTACTTACCGACTAATTCCTGAGGATCTCGCTTTTCTACTTCGGGATTATCCTGTAAAACGAGAGACAAATACAAAGAGGTAAGCCTGGGACTCGTAACCCGCAGTTCCACTCTTCACTGAAACCACTCAGGATTTTAAGGGAGGAGAAAAGGTGCAGGCAACACAAGGAACCTAAGAGTGAGCTGGTGCTCTGGGGGCCTTCTGGGGCCCCTGAACCTCCTACGCCCCCTTCCTCATCACAGCAGCCAAGATGGTCCAGATGCCCGCTTCAATCCCTCCTCCACAGCCCCCAGCAAGGACCAGTACCTACCGATGCCAAGGAGAGCAAAGGCCAGCCATCTGTCACCTGTACACCTGGACCCTGCCCGCTGTCTCCATGGGGCCTGGTCAGCCACCCCTACCCAGTACTGAGGAAGCAAAATGTGGCAACTTTGTAACATAAGACTCGCAAGACTAAAGCACAAAAGACTATCTGCTCCCAAGAGATTTTTCTTACTTTCAGTTTAAGCAAAAAAGGGAGACTTTATATAAGGGGCTAGCTCCTGGAACCCTGGAGCAGGCAGGTACTGGGCCGTTAATAAGGGACTGAACCAGGCCCCAGGACGGCCCTGGCACAGGGCAGCTTCTCTCCTGGCTCACCTCTTGGCGCTTTACATTGGCTTTATATCTCTCCAAAGAAAAAGCTTTCTTTGATCCTTAACGCAAACTTCCGCCCTGCGACACCCACTTCTACAGGTCCTTCAGCGATGGCCGGGTGCAGAAACTTTTAAAAGCAAAGGTTTCTTATCAGACGTTTTTCTGGATTTGCTCTGTATTTCAAAGCTCAGAGTAAGTGCTTCACCTAACCAAATCCACCCGGAGAAGGCTCCAGTCCCAGGCCCCGTCGCAAGCCCAGGCAGTGGGGAGGCCTTCCCTTGCTTCAATCGTCCCAAATGTCCAAGAGCAACAACACACCTGTCTTCCCCATCTGGCGGGGGGGACATCCGGCCCCTCACACACAGTCAGATCAGGAGGTCTCAAGTGCCACGACATGCTAATGAGCAAAGTGGCAGAAGCTGTGCTCACAACAAGCTGCTGGATCTTATTTCTTTCTCCTTGGTTGGTGGGGGAGGAGACAAGACAGTAACAATTCTGGAACAAAGTAAAATGGGCACATGGATACAGCTGCAGACCTCTGTGTACTCCACTTACATGAAGAGATGTTACCTCGAGTTAACACTTCAGAAAGGAAGGTGCCAGGCAGCCACCAAAAGCCCTCCTGTGCGATGGCTCCATGCCAAGAGCAGAGTAGTAGTTCTTAGCCTGCTTCCCCAAAAAGTCCCTCCCAACTTCGGGACAGGCCCAAACCCCTCACTCTTCTGAACACTGCAGCTATTCATTCGACCTGGATGGGCCTATCCTCCAGGCCCAGCTGCTTAGCAACCTGTCTCCTCCAGTCCTCACTCCGCCCCCTGCCAGTCAGGTGGGCAGAGGGGAGGCAGGCCTGCGCTAGGGAACAGAGGGTTGGGAGCCATGCCTGGAGGAATGCTGTGCCAAATTCAGGTTGATCATCAATCAGCTGGTCTACAGAGAGTGCCCGTCTCCAGGGGCCCCACAACAATCCCTTTGTAGCAGTGACTCCAAAGGAACCAGTGTTAAAAAGAGTGTGGCAGCAACAAAACGTGAAGACTGTAAGAGGTCCTTAAATATTCCCTCTAGGGGACAGCTTTCTGGGTGCTAATTGTAAGAAAACATCAGCACAAGATTGTGGGTACATCCTACCTCCCCTCTCCTTCCAGACCAGTTGGCTGGTATTCTGAGGACTGACCTTAACCATTCAAAGGCCCCCTAGGGGCTCCTTCCCAAAGCACGGCAGGGCACCAGCCACTCAGCTGGCCCGAGGAAGGAGGCAAGATGGCCAAGTGGGAATCCTACCCGGCCTACCCCAGAGGGACAAGGAAACACAGTTACCAAACCTGTCTCTTCTCAAGGGAAAATACTTGTTCTCCTGAGGGTCCCTTGGGAAGGGTGAAAGAAAGGCTTTGAGCTATCCCGGGGGCCTCCAAGCAGCCTGTGCCCCCAGTGAGGCGGGGTGGGGATTCCCACATTTCACAAGGTCCTCGCCTGGCTCAGCTGAGGATGTTTAGTCACATCTCAGGGAGAAAGGCAATGTTGGGGCAAAACCACCAACAGGAAGGTGTTCTCTCTTCTTTCAGTCTTTCCTTTTTTGGCTTGGTTCCTCATTCTTTCAAAATAATCTTTCTACACAAACACAAAAAGTGATAAAGTTGATAGTTGGTTTCAATTTGCCAACTGCTCTGCTTTTTTTTTTAATTCTTACCATGCACAGGCATGCGCACATGCACATACATGGGTGGGGCGTGTCCAGGGTGTACTCAGAGCCCTATGGAGCTATGGACTCTTACTCAACCCCAAACCCAACATCCCCAGAAACAACCCCCACTCCCTATCCCTGCAGAGGAATTCAGCTCCGTGAACCCTCCATGCAAAGCACCAACCTATGAACCATGGACCAAACTCGAAGTACAAGAAGATTCTTTTGCCTTAAGAGAATCCTAAAAACTGAATATATAAATGAGCCACAATGAACTGGAAGGACTGGAAACCACAGAGGTTTTCACAAAGGTCTCCTGGAAAGACTTTGGAATCTGTGGTTGTTCAGATCCTCCTCCTCCCTGTCAGAGCCACCTACGGGACTCCTAGGCATGGACAATGAAACAATGGGAATCTGTGCCTCCTGGTGGCCACACCTTGTTAGATTTTAGAATGTAATTCTTAAAAAAAAAAAAAAAAAAAAAAAGAATGTAATTCTTCTGTCCTCCGACATGAATAAGCTGGGGTGTGAGCCTGTGGAACTCCTGGCCAAGATGCCCCCAAAGAAGCCAACAACCGACGTTCTTTTGAATCCAAAAGCAGTTTAATCCCACCTCTTGCCCTGAGCATTACAAGTATGCTCAGTTATGCCCTACAGTGAAGGGCCTGGTGCCATACATCAGTGTTCTTCAAAGGGGAATGAGCCCAGGACTGCAAACGATGCTGAAGAAAGGTCAGCAATGAAGGAGAGTTTAGTAGGTCTGCTGAGATCAGAGAGGATGTCTGTCAAATACCCCAAAGATGCTTTTTGGGACCATTTACCCTCAACTGTCCCTTGAGGTAAATTTCATCCAATGAAAGCAGCCTCAGTTGGGAAGACAGGCCTGGGGACAGGGGTGGTCCACACTCAATACAAAGACCTAGAGAGACACCCTTCTCCCAGTCATGCCTCTCAGATACCAGGAATTCAGTACAAAATGAACCAAGCACCCATGGTAGTTATTTTGGAAACCACCCATGAAAAACATCTGATGAAGTATTTCATATGACAGACCTAAGGAGAGAGATGAAAGATTCACATTATTAAACTGCCAGTGGTTCAGGACAACGGTTATACAAACCGGCCATAGATTCTCTCTATCCCTTTAAGGAGGCTGAAAGGAACAGTTAGGAGGATACAAGTAAAAAGCAACAAGAAGCCACTGTTCCTTTTCTTCCCCCGAGGTGGTGTTTTGGAAACCACAGGACCCAAGGGGTCCTTGTCTTGACTTGTAGGAATCCATCCCCCTGGCCTCCAGGTGGATATTCTCAGTTGGTCAAAGTCCTGAACCCAGCCAGGAGGCATGGAACCCAACCAGGAGGCATGTCCAGAAACCTGCACAGACCTGGAGGTGACAGTGCATAGTGCATGGCCTTCAGGTGTGGCAGGCTGAGGGGCTCCCCGGCAGTTCACCGGGAAGGTGAAAACAAAGCATCTCATGTAACAGGTCCTAGGAGAAAAGACCAGGTAAAACCACCTCAGCTGTCTAGTTCAAGTCCAATGAAGACATAAAGAAAAAATAAAAATACACAACTCCTGAAGAAGCCAAGTGAGAACACGGGAAATGAGTGCTGAGCTGGTCAAAGACGCCAATTCCGTGGCAAGGTCTCCCTGGCCGACTGTGCACTCCTCTAACCTCCCGAGGCTCCTCCTGATCCTAAAGCCTCACCAACCGGGGCACCAGGACACGAAGTGGCCACAGCAGCCCAGAGGATGGCCATGAAGTCAGAGATCTGAACCCGCCCAACTTTGGTTCCTTAATCAACTGTGTCTGAGACCCATAAGAAGGCAGCAGACATTACAGACACCCTGTTCTCAGGGACTGTAGAACCTGGAATGTGGTTCCCTCTGCAGAGAACACAAAAAAGTCCAGCCACTCAGAAACTGCTTCTGATCAGAGGAAGGAAGCAGACACAATATGGCTCCATGACGTGGGATAAGCGGCCATTTGAGCTGGGAGGATTTGCTCAGCAGAGAAGTACCAGATCCTGGTCGCGAGAATGGAGGTTTATTTACAGCCAACAATACTCCATCAATCCGTCCCAGAGCCAGCCTCACAAAGCACGCTCAAGGGCCCAGTGTCCAAATGGAGACAAAGCAATGCAGCCTCCAGCAGCTGGATTCTGTCCAACCTAAACGTGGCTTTTTCGGCCCAGCTTTGGGAGCTTAGGCTCAGAGAGAGCACTCTGAGAAGAGGGCAGAGGGCAGCCTCTCCCCACTGCTGGGGAAGAATGCTACAGACTGTACATTTTCTGATAAATGATGTAATCTTGCTTCTTAAAAGTAGGGTGGCAGCCGGGGACGCAGATTAGTAAAACAATGCCTTCCAAACCTTCAATTCTCTCAGATCTGGGACTGGCCAAGTAGTTATTAAGTCCTGGTGAAATCTCACTTAGCAATGATTCCTCTCTGGGGCGCGAGGCCCTGGGGGACTCCCTGCAGCCATGTCAGCCTCCTCCTCCCAGCACAGAGCCGCACCAGGGCCTGGGGAAAGCCCGCTCCCTGGAACACATCCTCCCTATTCTTGCTGCAAGTAATAAGCCTCACTGAGGCCTCAGTCCTCAGCTCCAGGAAGGCTTCTTCCGCCCCACTCCCACCCAGCTGATGAGGACATTTGCTCTATTCTGGGCTCTATCTTAGTTAACACTATGTTCCCAGCACCTGCAGGTTAGTGCCATGCCCACAACAGGTGCTTAA